TGTGTGGAGTCAATACCTCAAATACACATATACCCTGAATTTCTACAATAGCTCTTTCAAGTTTTGGAGTCAGCCAGTGTTGTCCACATAATGCATTTTTGTTTGGTTTTTGCACATTATTACATTGAGTGATTGATCAACATTGCACATACCTGACTGAATTTGAGTTTTTGGACGATTGGGGCAACATGACAAATGCATTGGCAGGAAGTTGCCTATTTACACATAATGCACACATTGCTGAGCAAACACAGAGCAATGTTATCATTCATTTCCAGTTGTACTTCTAGCCACGCAAGGAATTAGGTACAATATCCATTATCCTTTGAACTCCGTTTTGGTCTCCACCAATGCCTGAGAAAGATATTTGGCATTTTAGCTGCTACATGCCAAATTATGTTCACCAGCTATTTGCTGACTCTGTCTGCCATTTGGTGGTGGTCAGGTAGTGCACAGTGGGTTTACAAGAGCTTATTTTTTCTGCTGAAAATAGCTGCTTGTTGCTGCTGGAAAACAATTTAAGAAATGTTTTGTTTGTTAATGTATAGTTGTTATTTAATTTAGCAGTGTAGCCAGGTAGCTAAGTTATTCTTTGTCAGATCATTTGGGATGTTACCCTATAGAGCGCATAACCACCCCCCTGGGCCGACCCTGATTTGCATTTAAAACCAAGAAAGATTGCAGCTAAAGGAGATGCATATATGTGGATTAGATCCTAATACAACACACTGAAAGTGACCAGCGTAAACGGGCCCATTCATGTTATGGGACAAATGTAGCACCTCCTTTTTATTTTGGCCCACTGGAGTACCTTTTTAGCCTCTATGTTTGAATGTGTTTATATGGGACATTAGGCTCTCCCTCTTACTTGAGATTTGAACTTGAGTGTGTACTCACTTTTTAACGTCTTCATCATTTCAGGGAGTTCAGCCACTGGAAGGTGAACAGCCTGGCAACAGAGAAGAGAGATTTCCTCAAATCTCCGCTGCCCTTAGCGCCGGAGTTCCTGCGCAACCTGCGGTTACTGGGGCGACGGCCGACCCTGCAGCAAATCAACGAGAACCTCATCAAGAAATACGGGACCCACTTCCTCGTCTCTGCTACCCTGGGAGGTGAGGTGACACACTCGCCTTTATTCTCGGGGTTATGAAAATGTCGGGATGCACCAAAAATAGAGGAGCTGCTCATTATATGTCTCAGAGGAGTTTGTGCCTATGTAAGTGCACTGCTGCAGAAGTGTGGGATATATGTGCTCGCTGGGTTCTTTTTCAAGGGAAAGGGTGAAAAGCAGCAGTTGCAACAGTACAACACCTTGCACCTGCAGCATTCAACCAAGGCCGTTTTCCACGGTAATTTCCACTCATCCTTTCTCCTGATGAACATTGTGTGCAGCTACAAGAGCCTCACAAAGCATGAGAGGGATTAAACTCAGGATAGGTTTCTTTTTATTGGATTCCTTTTTAGCCTTGATCTCAGAGGAGAAAAGTAACTCACAAAACGGAATCACGAGCTGTATCGATCGTGTGCCCTCCACAAAACAGGACTGAGACCTTTGTTGCGTTAAAAGTGACGACCTCATGATACAGTATTGATACACTGCTCATCCTCGTCATCTCATAGCAGCCCGAGTACAGTCGGCTGGCTTTTTTATAAAAGGGACTTTTACCATTGATAGGGAGTATAAACATTTCAGCAGCAGAGATTTAAAAGGTCAGGGTACTCTGTAAAACCAAGCAGCAATACGTAAGTGCCTTAAAGCTGCTCTCTACTGTCCATCAGGCGGCGACACCTCTGGTTGTATAGAAGTCTATGAGAAAATGACTACTTCTCTCTTGATTTATTACCTCAGTAAACATTGTAAACATGAGTTTATGGTCTCAATCTCTAGTTTCAAGTCTTCTTCAATACAGCATGATGTTCATTTAGTAAATGATGGTAAAAGAAGAGTCAGATAGACCATAAAGCAGGGTATGCTTTAGGGCGGGGCTACATTGGGATCGACAGGTTGCTACCACCGTGTTGTCCGCTTTGGGTGTTGTCCATTTTTTTTTGTCTTTCGAGTTTTAACCCATTCATAGTCTTTTTTTAAGTTCATAAACTTTATTTGTAACAATTTGGCAGCTCAAAAGTGTCTTGGTTAGCGTTCAGTTGTACTTAGTTTAACCGTCTTGTGTCACCTCTGCTTTGCAAAAAACAAGATGGTGATGGATGTAATTCTGAACTTGCAGCTTCAAAACATCCACAAACCAACCATGGTGACTTTGTCCACTTTTCTCATAGACAGCCTGTAGTAAAAACCTACAGTGGAATTATAAAATTGTCTGCGATATTTACACTCACTTATGATATAATGGCCTTAAATTGGGATAAAACCGAATCATTTGAAGCCAATGTTACCCATACATCTTTCAAAACAGGGTTGGCTACCACCCCTACTCCATCTGATGTTTTAGTAATGTGTATGGTGAAAACTTCATCCCTGGCCATCTAACTGTGACACCCTTATCACTGGATGTACGTAGTGGAGCATCAGCGTGGGAGACAGAGGATAGAGGTGAATGCAGCACCAGACTGATAGTTAGATTCTATATGTAATTAAAGGCCTCTTCTAAATGGGCTGAGCATGTCTGCATGCTGATTAGACCGTGGCTGAGCGAATGCACACTGATCCCCAATATAAGTTCTCTTTTCCCTTTTGTTCTTTTTTGCTCACCAGTGAATAAGTTTGAAGTGAATAATTGCCTTGATGACTAAAAACAATAAATAGTCAGTAGTAAGTTAATATTGGGACATCAAATATGCTTAATAATAATAGCTTATATATTATTATACATTCATAATCTTAGTTTTTGTTATTGGTCATTTTGTCATCATTTGACATATTTAAATGATGACAGCTTTTCCGAGGCTGTGCCCCGAAATCCCTCTCATTCTCGTATTCACTACTGCATATAAGAAGCGGAAATAGCCGTCGTGAAGTTGTGGACTGTGGTTTTGAAGCCCCGAGTTCTGTATTTTGGCCGTCGACATCTTGTTTTTTGCAACCAGTGAACGAACCTGACCATTTTTGGACTGTGTAGGAATGCGGTAGTGACCAGGCCTGAGAAACCTCAGTAAACATTTTCAATGTTTGCTGAGGTAATAAATCAAGTAAGAAGTAGAGTCATTTTCTCATAGACTTCTATACAACCAGAGGAGTCGCCCCTTGATGGCCATTAGAGAGAATGCAGCTTTAAGGCACTTATGCATTTGCTACTCCCTATAAAATAACAGTAGAGTAACAGAGTTAAGCAGATTCAGGCTTCAACACTTACTATCATAGTAATTTTGTACCATCAAAGATAGCCGTTGAGCTGATCAATAGACATGTTTCATCTTTAGTAGGCTTAGAATTATATTCCTTTTTTTGTTCCACTGTGGAAGGTTTTGATCATAAAAGTGGATAAATATATGCTGATAATCTATGGGAGAGGGTGCACTGCATAGTAAATAGACTATGTCTGAAATCACTCCCTAAGTGTCACAATTATCCAAAAACCCAAGCCTTTCAACCCAGCTAAGGTTGTTCATTTATTCTCTCAGTGATTCTCTAAATGGCTTTATATTCTCGGTCCCTCTGCGACTTTTAACATCCATAGATAATGGTGTGCTTTGTTAAAGAATAGGAAAGTCTCATTGTCTTTGATTAGCAAGATGCAGTGGCAAGTTCACTCAGTTACACACTTCCAGTGTAGGAGCAGTCAATAAAGTGGTTCCTTTAGCATAGCCTTTAGCACAGGAGTAGGAAACCACACCAACAAAGGCCAACACGTGCTTTTCAAGGATTTGACACAATTCAAGCTAACTTCCTGTTAGCTAACCAATACAGGATGGTTCAAGATAATGATAATCTAAATGTCCACTAAACTCAGGTGATGTGAGGTGAATTGGAGTTAGCATGCCTCACATTCAAAGGTTGTCTTAAATCCCCTGTTTTAGATGACAAAAAGGTAATAAGACAACCAACAATGAAAGTAGGCTACCACTGGGATGCTTTGGAAATGTAAGAGCATTTCACACAAGCAGCCATTTGCTTTAATTTATTAGCATTAGCCTGCTTCTGCTAATTTGTGGCTGATGTCAGTTAAATTATAAAATGCTATTTCTAAAAATTAGCTAAAGTGCTAGCTTCAGCTATGTCTAATCCTCCACTTTCAAATGCTGCTTTGAATCTTGAATAAAGATTGCGTGTTGGATACTTCAGTGGGTGGGAGTTTGGAGAATTTTCAGCAAAACAGCCGACAGGGCTGTGCCTGTTCGGACTTTTTCAGAATGTTTGAAATGCCAGTAGCTATTTAGGTAATAGTGTCGGGCCTGGCATTGATAAACAACACTTGGAAGTTTTTGTTTTAAGACATGATGTATTATAACCCTATTAAACAGGGTTGCATGGTGGTGTGGTGGCTTCTCCCCGTGTCAGGGTGTGTTCTCTCCCGGTTCACCGGCTTCCTCCCACAGTCCAAAAAAAGGCAGCTTAGGTTTATTGATTACTCTTAATTGCCCGTAGGTGTCTGTCTCTATGCGTCTGATGAAAGAGAGTGAAGCAAATGATCTGCATCAGACAAACCACAATACCACAGTGAAATGTGGCCTCCTGCCCTGCATTGTGAATTCTTTTAATGGAAGTGATCCTTCAGTAATTCTCCCATTAACGAGATGACGTGACACGTCGGTCGTCAATAAAAAAAGAATATATTTTTCAATAAGACAATCATAAAAAAAATAGTTTAGGTGACTTAAAAACTAACCAGATTCATCGACTTATTATTTATTCCACAGGAGAGGAGTCTTTGACCATTTTCCTGGACAAGCAGAAGCTGAACAAGAAGTCGGAGGGTAACAGCAACAGCTCAGTGGTGTCTCTGGAGCTGCTCCATCAGCTCGCCGCTTCCTACTTCACAGATCGAGAGAGCACCCTGAGGCGACTGCACCACCTCCAGATTGCTACCTCTGCCATCAAGGTACCGTACACATGCACGAGGCGAGCAATTAAGCCTCCTGACATTAGGCAGCATGTCCAGATATGTATTCTACACTGTCAAGCCGAGCTAGAAAGTGTCCGTTTCGGTATAAAGCACCGGTGAAAATACAGTTTATTTGCTGTATGCAGACTTTGAGTTTGCAGTTCTTCAGGTCCACAAACAGCCACACCTCAAGGTAGAAGCTTCTATAAAACTGTCCCTTTTCGACGTATCACTCTGTGCTGTGCCCGCACGCCTCGTTCTATGTATGCACCATCTTTTCAAAAAATATTACTTCCAAGGTGCATCATTGCTCAGCTGAGAGCGAGAGAGAGAGAGAACATTTTTATTTTTTTTGATGGCAGGCTGGATTAGAAACACTGCAACCCACAGAGGCACTAAAGCGAGGCAAATGTCAAGTTTCTTTAAAGTCCCAGTTGTGGGGGAAGAGTGTATTTATGCATACTGTACTCGACTGTATGCCATCTGGACTGAGTTACAGGCTGGTGTGCGCTCTCCTGTCGGTGTGCATGTGGACAAATACCTGGTCATTTTCATCAGTTCTGATGAAAGCTGCTGGATTTATAGCACAAAGTGGCATTGATTTTAGAATTTAAAGCGTTTCAACAGCTTTTTTTTTTGCACGGAAGTCAGTTCCATTAAAAGGACTCGTGGTTCATTCTGTATAGCCTCTGCACACAACACTTGACCCGCCTTGACACGGTGAGTCGTCATTCACCCGAAACCCATCACGAAGCTTTAGCTCTTTTCATCGTTGAGAGGAACGGATTTATGTTGGATATCCACTCCAAGAACACAGAACAAATAAATCCTATTATCTCCTGTGCCTGGTTTCACCTTCTTTTTTTCCCTCCTCTCGACAACGAGAAGCAAAGCCAATCAAACCGCTACATTTTTTTGAGAGCAGATCTGTTGGCGATCGTGCCACGACAGCAGGTGTGTGGGTGGGTGGACTGTGCTTCCATGCTGCAACTTAAATAGTGAATCTGATGAGTAAATGCCGGGTGTCAACATTTTGCGCTTCCAAGCCTCCTTCGCCGTACGCACCTCGCTCGCTGTATATGCACAGGTGAGATCGACCGTTTCCGTTGCCAAGAGTCAATTTGAATATGAAAATATTTAATTGCTCGACACAGTTTTTTTCTCATGAAGCCTTCAAATGGTTCTACATGCGAGTAACCAACAACACAAAAAGGCCTCCCGGACTGTCTGGGAATTGCTTTTTACCTGGAGAGAAGTTTGATTAGTGTGAAAACATGACAGTAAAAAGGAAGTTTGCTGCAGAGACAAACTCTGAGCAATACAGTTTTTATATTTATTGGCAAGCCTTATCACAGACAACCACCACTTTGATATGCAAGCAAAAGTAACACAATTTAACAACAACAAAAGTATGCTGCATCTCATAACAGCTTCAGCATGAGGCCACAGATTATCTGCTAAACCTGAATTAATTAGGAACTAAAATCTTTGTTATAAATTTGATACATTTGTGTTTGTGGGGGAAGCGAGTGAGTGGCACTGAAGCAATCCCTTATCTTTTGCAAAGAAGACAACAATTGTGAATGAATAAGTGAATAGCAAGCAACCATTAAGATCAGTTTAGCGCATCAGTTAGTCTGGTTTCAATCCATCCAGTGATACTTTGTGAAATACACTTTGTAAAATGCAGCTCAACACTGTTTCTCGTGCATATTTACCAGCCTGATAATTTGTCAGATTCTTCAGTTTGGTCTGTGTGGAGCTGTGTTTAAGTAGAAAGCAATAGTAGGGATATCCTTAAAGTAAATGCAAATCACGCAATAACAATACATCTAGTTAACATAGAAATTAAACATTATAAACATCCCAAAGGGCCCAAACAGTCACAGGTGTACTACATGTCAAATAGATATGATTATAATAATTGCACATTTTCTCCACATAAGAAATGTATCAGTTAAGGTGGAACAGGCATTATTACTACACCTCGTTCTTGTTCTCACGTGCCTCCCTTCCCTCCGCAGGCCGTGCAGTACGTCCTGTTCTCATCATTAAGAATAATTATATTGAAATAGACAATCTTCTCTCTGATGGTCTTGTCTTGACATGTCAACTAAAGATCTGATTGGTTGAAGACTATGACAATCAACAATAACGTCCCCATTTACTTAAACTGCAAAGTCTACCGAGAGGCCCTCAGGCACAGAGGTGAAATCTGATTGGATAAAAGCTCTCCTTAAAACAAGCTGTGCTGGAAGCAGCGCTGCAGGCTGGAGGCAGAGCAACAGAGCAAGACAGTAGCTGTGCAATGAGAAAGTAAGATAATGGGAAAAAAATGATAATAAATGTAGTGTATTTGTGAAAAATTATTAAATTATTAAATAGCTATAACTTTGTGATTCTGTTTAGGCCAGCAGAGAAGGCTTAGCCTGATGGCCCACAACTGTTATACACAGTTGTGGGTATTAACTTGAGACTGTTTCATAACCATTCAAAGTTCCTCACTTTAAGTCAGAAAGTTAACCATTACAAACCAGCCAACTGACCTGGATCCCAAAACTCCCAAGGGTCCGGAAGTCCCAGGTTTACTGTATGACATGATTTTTACAGTTCCACATTTTCTAAGAAAATTGCAACACAGAATAAATGTATCAGTTAAGGTGGATCCGGCATTAGGAATTAATCAAGTGGCCCTGTGTAGCACCTCGTTTTAGGATTTAGTTAAAGAGCAAATCAACAGTTGATGAACATTGTTTTTATGTTGACCTCCAGGGGTCTGCAGCCTGCAAAAACAGATTGGCTTTTGTCTTTGTTACAATAAGCAATAAGTAGTGCTTTTAATCACAGTAAATGAATAATGTGAATTTGAAGATTAATGTGCATTGAACAAGTTTTGGAAGTAAAGTTTTGTGTTAGATTGCCACCCACAATTAGAGAAACATGTTCAAATGGTGAACTGTCTCATATCTTCAACCTTTCTGTTTGTGTGTTCACTAGCAGGTCTCAAAATCCATCATGACTGAGATCATTAAGGGTGCTTTGACGAGCCAGAGTCTAGTTTGTCTCGTCTGAATCAGAGGGAAATTGATACTTTTGGTTTGTTTTCTATTTAGCCCGGTGCGGTTTTTACAGTGCGCAAATTAAAGCGGAGCAAATTAATAAAGTAACATGCTGAGGGGCATGTACAGGGGATACAAATTATATATTTCATCTCAGCGCTATTATATATAACTGTGGAATATCCCCCTGATGACAAAATACAATTTTATGTGGCTGCATAGATTTGCATATCAATGATGTAATGCAACAAAACGGATTTTCATGAAACAATTCAATTCCTTAACGCTTTAAGATACGATTATACCAAACATATATGTTTATAGATTCAAAAATATGTTTATTTTACCTTATTGTTTTCAGTCTCATGGGTATTAATAATTCAATATGACCTTAACAATTGATGAAAAAGCTAAAATGGCACCTATGAACCTGATAACCCGTCAATGTTGACAGAAATAAAGCAGCTTCAGTTCAGGTAAATAGTCCCACTTTCCAGCAATTGCATTTCAAACACCAAGTGATTTTGCCCGCCCGCGCACACACACACACACACACACACTCCCACTTTAGAGAGGAGCATCCATTGCATGTCTCTGCTAAATGAGGATCTCTGCTATGCGAGCCACCTGCCGCGTCCATGTTCTGCCAGATCAACTCATCACCCAAGAGGAAAGCGACACTGAGTGGGATGTACTTGACCCGTGTCCATGCACGCCTCTGGGCTCTGTGTCGCTGCAGAGCCGCGTAGGAGGTGGGAGCGAAATACATTATCTTTGTCTCCGGCAATAACGCGCAGGTTCCCTCATCTAGTTGAGGCTCCAGCTTTGTGAGAAAAAAAAAAAAAGAGCCTCTAACACCTGTGTGAAATTTGCTGTTTGGAAAAGAGAAGAACTGGCTGTGTGTTACGCAAAGAGTCTTTTTACCGCCGCGCTGCCGCTTTCAAGAGCCAAAATCAGCAGCCAGACACTCTTCTCTTCTATAACACCTCATCGTGTTGTGGTGAAAAACATTTTTTATTGACAATATACTCCATACAGTGATGTTAAGAAATACAGTAAAAGCTATATAGAAATGAAAAATGATTTCAGTTCTGAATCTCAACACCTTCACTGCAACTTAAATGTCCCATAATTCTTTGAGATGTCAAAAATGATGTTTGAGGATGTCATATAACAGGAGAAGTGACTTCTGGGTAGTCATCTGTCAGTTTTTGTTTGGGATGTGAAAAAGTTACAAATTGAGCTTCGCTGATCATATTTCTATTGAGCCCGGTAGAGGACAAAAAGAATCAAAGTTTGAAAAACAAAATAAAACCTGTACATTTGCAAAATGACTCAAATGTTTTGCTTACATTTCCTGAAGGATTAGGTATAATTCTATATTTTATTGTCAATGTCAGCTTATCCCATGAAAGTACATGTAGTTTTTCATTTTTAAATGAGTAAGTAATGTCCTAGAACAGCTGGGTACTGTGGCTTTTTGCAAACATTACTCAAACAGGTGGAACAAGAGTTTTTTTGGGGGGGGGGGACTATTTTCAGCTGCGGATCAATACACATTTGACTCGTGAGTATTTACAGCGGCAGCAGCAGTGTATGTGGGATTGAGTCAAAATAGACTTGTGTGTCCATGGTAATAAAGGAACATGTGTCATGGAGCCTATAATATGATATACCAGGCTTTAGATGCACAGATAATACTTGTTTGTGTCTTCTTTTTTAAACATTTGTTGACAATAAAAAACATATACACAGTCGCCACGTCACTAAGTACACCTGTCCAATCTATTAAATATGACATCTCAGCCATAAATGCTACCTGCACACAGGTTTTTTTTACATTGTTGGGTTTATTCAACTATACAATTATTACTGGGATCACAGTTAAAGGTGGTATTACCTGCATGAAACCAAAGATCAAACATGATTGGCCATTAC